AGTGGAGAGATGATGGATCTCGTCTGGCAGGCCATTCCATAGCCTGGGAGCAGTCGCAGAAAAAGCCCTCTGGGAGGTCTGCGCCAACCTAGTCTTCATGGGTTGGAGCAGGTTCCTCCCAGAGGACCGAAGGGTGCAGGGGGGTTCATATGGGGAGAGGTGGTCCCTGAGATAAGATGGACCTAAGCCACGTAGGGCTTTAAAGGTTAAAACCAACATCTTGTACTGTGCCTGGAAACTTCCCTGATTGAGTCTAGCCATCTGGTATGTAGTCTTCTTCTCTTTTTACTGCCCTCCACCTTCCTAGTATTATCACTTTTTCTAGCAAGTCATGCCTTCTCATGAGGTGGTCAAAGTATGACAACCTCAATGTAATTATCATGGCTTCCAGGGAAAGTTCTGGCTTGATCGGTTCAAAGGACTGTTTGTTTGTCTTTGTGGCTGTCCACAGTATTCTCTTCACTCTCCTCCAGAACCACATCTCAAATGAGTTGATTTTCTTCCTATCCACTTTCTTCACTGTCCATCTCTCACATCCATACATGGTGATGGAGAATATAATAGATTGGATGATTCTAACTTTAGTGCTCCATTGTATATCTTTACTTTTTAGGATCTTGTCTAATTCTTTCATTGCTGCCCTTCCCATTCCTATGTAGAGAGATCTTGTAGTACCTTTGAGACTAACTGAAAGAAAGAAGTTGGCTGCATGACCTTTCATAGAGTTAAGTCTACTTCCTCAGATGCCACTAAAGCATTATCACCATTTCTAGCAAGTCATGCCTTCTCATGATGTAAACATACCCAGCTCCCTAAGTTGTTTCTCATAAGTCTTGGGAGGTATCTAAGCCAGTGTATGCACACTGTAAAAATAATGCAGTTTGACACCTCTTTAACTCCTATGGTTCCTTCCTGCAGAATCCTGGAGTTTGTAGTTTTGTGAGGCACTAGCACCCTCTGGCAAAGAAGGTTAAAGACCTTGTAAAACTATAAATCCTAGGTTTCCATAGGATGGAACTACAATACTTAAAGTTGTGTCAAACTAACTATTTCTACTCTGTACTTGTACCCTTGGTTTCCATATTTTGATCATGTTGGTCACCCTTCTTTGG